CCTCAGCTAACCCCATACGGGTAGGAAAGACATGGGGTGGAAAAGCCACAGAAGCCTAACGAAGGGAAGTACCTGCCAAATTCTGTTTTACTAAAGCCAGTCCCAAATGTAAGTTTTGGTTTCTGGCTGAAGAGCAGTTCTCAAACCCGTCGTCCCGCTGCAGGAAAATGAGGAATGGGAGGAGTTGGCCCTTCCTAAAACCGCTTGCGGATCCCAACTCTCTGAGCAAAGCCCCGTGGTGCCAGGCGAGCCCGGGCAGGAGCCCGGCAGGTAGGCTGGATTCTTGTGGGGTTCAGAAAAATAGGTCAACGCTCTGCGAACCCCTTGGCAATCCCGACCGGAGAGGACGCTGAAGCTGACGGAGGAGGGAGATGTCGCTCGGTGACGAAGGCGAGTGGAAGGCTCGTGGCGCGGCTTCCAGGCGCACGGAAAGGAGCTGACAGTTTGCCTGGGAGGGCACAGTTTATGACACCGATGTCGAGCTGTTACACCACTAAAATCTCACAGTTATTGATTAAAAACCGCTCCTGGCAAGAGACGTGGCCGATCCCTTCCCAGCGGAGCTGGAGCCGTCCTTATCTCTTGCAGGAGCAGGAGGCCTTTGCAGAAAAACTGATCTCGGAGGTGTTGCCAGGCCGGAGTGGGCTTTGTGTCACTGCTGGAAGTGCTGTGTACCTATTATTTGTGTGGCCCAGGGTCCCTCTTCAGAGAAAATCCGCTATAGCTGGAACTAGTTGGGGTCTGGACGCCGCAGAGCAGCGGCCGAGCCGTCGGGGCGAACCGGCGAGCGCTCCGTCGCTTCGCTCTTGCGAAAGGGGGTGACTGAATCTTGCCCGTTCCAGGGGGTTGGTTCTTGAACCTGCTGGTTCGTTTGATGTCTCCGTGCCCTTTAAAAACGAGCCCGGGGGATTTATTGCTTTGTGCTTTGATGCGAAAGACCTTGACTTGCTTTGAATCGCCCCAAGAGATACCAGCCTTGGCACGGCTCAGCTTCTCGTGTTCGCTTCTTATCGGGCTTCGCTCTCCCCGGTGTGTGCTGCAAGGTCGTGTGGAGAGGGGTTAAAAACTAGGAATTAAAAAACCAAAAAGCCCATCACGAAATCAGCCCTGGGGTAGTGGGGAGGGGGTGGTTTGCTGCGCGTTCGACGTCCGTACCGGGCGAATTCCGCGAGGGCTTCCTTCTGCAGTTTTATAAAAGAGTCACGGCGAGCGAGCGGGCTAAAAAAAAGCGCCTCTTGTTGTGTTTGTCTCTTCTGCTTTAGTTACCTGAACGACTTGGATAGAATATCCCAGCCGACCTATATTCCCACTCAGCAGGATGTTCTGCGGACCAGGGTGAAAACTACGGGCATCGTGGAAACTCACTTCACTTTCAAGGACCTGTACTTCAAGTAAGTGAGGGGCAGAACTTGTCCCCGCGGGCTGCGGGGATTTGGTGCCGGGAGGTCCCACACAAAGCCTCTCACTCCCTTTTTTTTTTTTTAACTGTCCTCTTTGCCTCCGTTAAGCTCCGTCTCTGCCGGCGTCGCTCGCCGGAGATACCGGTTTGACTTTTCTTTTGCCTTCTGTTCTTTCCAGCTGCTTTTATGTTGGGATCGCGGACACAGGTACTTGCCTGCTGGTTTACGGGGAGGGATCCGAACCGTAACAAAATAAAATACGCAAAGGACACTGACTCCTGGAATTTGAGTCGGAATTTAACCCCTGCCTTGGAGATAAGAGCCCTCCCTTGGCCTGGGGCTGCGCGGAGCTGTAGGTGACTCTGCTTAGCGTCACCTGTCCTCTCCGCCTTCTCAATTCAGTCCCCGCGGGGCTCAGGTGTCGAGCCTGCTCTTGGCAGTGTCCCTTTACGTATCGCTGACTGAGCTCCCTCGAACCTCCGTAGTGGTGGCTGCTGGCCCGCAGTTTAGCTCTCCTCTCCCTGCTCTTCGTCTGCTCCGTTAGTAAAAAGAAAAACTCCTCGCTTGGCATCCCAAGGGCGCTGCCGACAGCCATCCCGGAGCCCCGCGGCAAGGCTCGACGCTGTGGATGTAGGAAAAGGCAGCGCCCGTATCTTGAGCAAATTCCCTTCCTCTCTGGCAACATTTTCAGGTCTTCCTTGCTCAGAGTCTTTAAACACGTGTTTGTTTGCTTATTTTTAGCTTGTGTTTTGAAAACAGCTTGAAAGAGCGATAGCAAAAATCCTGAGCGTGGCTTATAAAACGAGATTTGCTTTTCTTTGGAGGGGGAGAACAAGTTGCATCTTTGGCTTCCGAACTTATGAACTGTTTTAACAAAAAAGCTTTGCATCACCGAGCTGGTGACGCGGCTTCTGGGTCCTCCGGGAAGGGGGGGACACAAAAAAATAAAAACAACCCGCCCTTGTCTTCCGCCGCGATGCGTTCGGATCAGCCTTTCCAGCTGCAGCGTGTGGCGCTCTTTGAAAAACCGTCACGTCTGACTAATGGAAGAGTGAGCTTGGAAGGAGCAGCATGTTCCGTTTAATCATTCCAACGAGCGAAGGGGCTGAGCGCTCGCAGTCGTGCCACCCCCCCCTCCATGCAAAGAAGAGGGGAAAAGCTCTTTTTTTCTTTCTTTTTTTTTCCCCCTCCGGAGTCATTGATCATGTGCGGAGCCCGAGACACGAGGCGTCTCGTCTCGGAGGGATTTGCTCCACAAAGGAAAGCATTAATACATCTTAAACCCCGGAGCTGCCATCTTTCCCTGCGACACAAGCCTTGATGTTAAATCTCGGGCATTAATAACGGGCTGAGGTAGCTTTAGCGGAGCTGTGACTCGAATTTGGATGAGCTCGGCGGAGCGGAGTTGTCGAGGACGCCGTTCCTTTCCCAGATGCCTCCGCGCTGCCGGAATGGCAAACGCCGCGAGCTGAGTAAACAGCCCGGATCCTGACGGAGGGTTTTCATCTTTCTTCCTCCTTTCAGTCCGCGGGGACGGTTTATGTTAAAAGAGAAGGTGGGAGTTCATTGAGCCACCTCGTTTGGCATCTTTAAATCGCTTTTTGGCCCACCCCGGGCGGATTCCCTCTCATCTGTTTGCTTTGATATCGAATCAATGTTCCTGATTTTCGTAGCTCTTGGATATCGACTCATTTCTGACTCGGTTTAATTGAGTTGCAGCCCCTCAGAACATCCTGGGCAATCCTGCTTCTCCTCCAAACATTTTGGTGAGCAGGGCGCTGTCACCAAGACACTTTGCATCTTTTTTTTATATACAGAAATTTCATAAGTTTAAACTCTGGTAGCTCACGGGCTATTTCCATACAAGAACCTCTTGCTTAACCCCCGTTAATTTATATTTTTCCCCTGAGTCCCAGTAGCAGGTAGTAGCTTCCACGTAATCCTTTGTCAGCCGCGGTGTAAATGAACCAGAAGAGCTGACTCTTGAGTAGGAGTTTGGAGTCCAGTCAAGCAAATGCATTGTTGCTAAGGAAATAGGAGGCAGAGAACAAAACAAGCGTGCCCTGGTGAATCAGCGCGCTGTAGGTAACACCTAGTTCTTCTTGCTGAAATTGGAAGAATTCTGCTTTTCAAATCCCTTCTTCCTGGGAAAGGGAGAGCTCGGAGCTGTTGGCCTTGCCGACAAAAGACTGTGGCCGTGTTTTGCCCCTCGACCCTGCTTGTCTAAAAGTCCGTAGAGCCCCTGGGAGCACCGCGGTGGTGGCTGGGGAAGGAGGTTTCTGTAGCTCCTGAGATGGTTCTTCTGCCTCTGCCAGGATGTTCGATGTCGGCGGCCAACGGTCGGAGCGGAAGAAGTGGATCCACTGCTTCGAAGGCGTGACAGCGATTATTTTCTGCGTGGCCCTCAGCGATTATGACCTCGTCTTGGCTGAGGACGAGGAAATGCTCATCTTGGCCGAGGATGAGGAAATGGTACGTGATGGAGTTGTTAACTCGTGCCCGGCCCCGTGGCACTGGAGGAGGAGGAGCAAGACGGGTCCTGGGGGAGTTAGGGGGTGAGGAAGGTGATGTGAGCCCCACTCGGGGTTGTCCCTGGGGATAGAGCGGTGACACTCGACTCTTTAGCTCGGCAGTAAAGCCTGTCTGTCCTCACCACCCCCTCCTCCCTGAAAAACTCCGCATCGACGCGTCACTTTTCTCTGGTTTATTTTCCAGAACCGGATGCACGAGAGCATGAAACTGTTTGACAGCATTTGTAACAACAAGTGGTTCACGGACACGTCCATCATCCTCTTCTTGAACAAGAAAGACCTGTTTGAGGAAAAGATCAAGAAAAGCCCCCTAACGATCTGCTACCCCGAGTACACGGGTAAGGCGAGGCAGGAAGCTCCCTGTTGATTTTGTCCCTTGAAGCCTCCACAACACAGGAGAACTTAACAGCTGATGGTTTTCCCCATTGCCATAGCTCAGGCTCTTGGGCGGCGTCCTCAGGCTGTCCGGTTGGCCGGGAGCTCATTTTCTCAGCTGAGATACGAAGGTGCGGCTCCGCCGTTCGCGACAACCTTTGTCCGGGTGTTTTATGGCCCGGAGTGCGCGTAGCAAAGCGTTGCTCGCCACCAAAGCGAGCTCACTCTGTGTTTTTATTAAGACAATACTCCAATTTTTAGGGGCCGAGAGCTTCTCCTCCCTCTGAGTTCAGCACTTGGCCGCTGCGGTGTGTCTGTGTTTCAGCCACAGCCCTGCCCTGCTGGGGTGCTGTGATTTAGATTATTATTTGGTGGCGTATTTTTATGAGGTTTTAAACAATTCTTCTTTCAAACCTGCTTATTCCTGTCGCTTGTCCCTCTTAAAATCATAGAACAGTTTCAGTTGGAAAAGACCTTGAGTATCATCGAGTCCAGCCTT